TGCAGGAACATGGAAGGCGATACGCAACGGGTCGATAAAGTCGAAAACGTGGTAATATATTATATTCTCAATATTACTATTTGTTTCGGTAGGATATACCATATATTTTTCTTATGCGCAGAGTGATTCACTAAGCGTGTTAACCCAAATTTTTTGGTTAAATTTTGCACGTATTCGAATACTTAGATTTTTCACAACATTTAAGGAATATCCTCCAGTGGTAATACCAACTTTGGTTTATCAAATAAGAGCCTATATTAAACATTTCATAAATGGACGGCGTATGACTTTAAATACATTTTGACGTCATCATTTTTGATTTCCGTTAACCCGTTAACGAAATATTCCATTTTTAAGTTTTTATTTTAAAAATTGTAACACCGACATTTCTTTAAAGTAATAGTCCGTATACTTATGGAATGTTTAATAGAATTAAATGTATGCTAATAATGGATGACTTTTAAAATATAATTTAAGTAGGTCAGTTTTTAGTTTGCTCAAGATTTTTCCCAGCAAATGTGAAAAACCGTAGGAAAAACGGGAAAATCGGTACATTGAATTAATAATATTCGAGATATTATTTAATGCCTATTTAATTATTTTACCATAACATATATATTGTTGACAAAGTATCACTATAAATTTAACTTCGATCAGAATCGTTTATCGTTAGCAATGGTTTATCGTTGTTTACAAGTATACATTAAATTTCCTATATAATAGTGCCTGTACTCGTCCCCCGTTTTCCAAGGACGACTTCTTTAAATGCGTAATTTGTGATTAATTTCTGAACGTTTAATCATCTATGCTTGGTGAATCAGATAATACTTTGGTTGTCACAGACAAGAAAACTACTGTTATTATTAATTACACTATTATCTAGTCATAACAAAGCATTGCCGGTTTAGCTAATATAAATATACAAAAAAAAATTTAGCTATTATATTGTTTTCTAAATTTATTTTACTAACAAAATAAAATATTTTATTTAGGTCAAAAATCACGTGTTCGAAGTATTGAATGTTAAAATGTACGAAGGGAATGATACTGAAAAATCCGCTCAAGTACCGGATCACAAGTCGGTCTCGGAAAACTTTGATTTTAAAACTGGCACGCTTGAATTAGACGAAACGGTTAACGGTGTGGGTGAACAAATGTGGCAAAATATTAGGTCCTTGGTTAATATCAACCACGATTACTATCGGTGTTTGACGGACATTTTAGATACGAATAAGTTTAATAATCTCGATAGTATAAAAGATCACGTTGGTTCGGTGTTGAAACAAGGAAAGAAGGCGGAATCCGTCGAGCCCGATTTAATTGCCTATTGCCATACTAATTTGGAAAAAAATCGTCAGGTTACGGATAATCAACATGAATTAAACAATGATTCGATAACGAATGACCCGTTCTTAATCTATCATTCGAAATTGAGTGCACTTCAAAATGAATTGACGGAATCCAAGAAAAGTAAAAAGATCGCCGAAGGCAAGATCGCGTCACTAGAAAGGAAAAATAGAGACTTGTTGAATATATTGAACAGTTACGAAAATGAAAATGTCCACAGAGTATCGCTGGAAAGACACCTCAAGGCCGAACAGAAGAACAACGAAAAATTACGAGATATGATTACTAAAGATTTCAAACAGAAAATACCATCGTATAATATTTTTTCTTGAGGGCTACCAATACCGCGATATTTCCCTACCTCTCTCTCTATTAAACATTTTACTTCAGCAGGATATTAATTTAGTCCATGTTGAATTATTCGACTCCCACCTTATTTCCCGTTCCTTATCACTGTGGTCAATCCATGTACCATAGAGTGCCTCGCTTACTTTTCTAGTAATATTTGCCATGCTTTTTGTAACCGGAAATTGATGGCAGTAACATTCGGCGATATTAAGAGCGCATATGATTCGATTCATATTCGATGCCTTCTTATTTCTAACTTGATCAACACATTCAATTCAATATTTTTTTTTTTTTCTTAGTATTCAATCCGTAGATTGGTCTACAATAAATGTTCTCTCCATGATTTTCTGTCTTGTGCTTTGTCTTTGAGTTGTTTGTACGAATCGACTCTTGCATCTTTAATTAATTGACTTATGTAACATGTTCTTGGCCTACCTCTTCCGCGTTTCCCTTCTATCATACCTTCCAGTATGAGGCTATGGAGTTCTTCATTATGTCTTAACGAATGACCTATCATATGCCATCGTCTTGATCTTAAATTATTTAGCAATGTTCTTTTCTCTGACCAAATCTAATACTTCTTCGTTTGTCTTCAATTCCGTCCATTTTATTTTCTCCATTTTCCGCCAACACCACATTTCAAAAGCTTCTAGAGCGGTTTCCTCTTTTTTGTTCAACGTCTATGTTTCACAACCATATAATGCTGTGCTCCAATCTAGCTGTTCTTCAATTCTATTTCCAACTCTTTTAGTTATAATTATTATTAGGAGTTTAGAAGCATGTAATATTAGGCTTAAGGTTCTGAAGTTATTGCATTGATCTGCCCCTGCTTTTTTTGGTAATAGTACTAGTGTACTTTTGTAAAAGTCTTTTGGAACAGTCCCTATATTGTATATATCATGTATTAATTTAAATAGTTCTTCTTTTGTTTTTGTGCCGGCGTATTGCAGTAACTCTGTGTTTATATTATCTGGTCCTGGTGCTTTATTTGCTTTCATAATTTTTAATGTATATTCAAATTCCGATCTTAAAATACTTGTATTCGTCATTTTTCCCTGTGAATCCTCATTTTTTTCTATTTGGATCAATGGCTCGGGGTTATTATCTTTGTAATATAGGGTTTCTACATATTCTTTCCATCGGTCAGCTATTTTTTCGTCTTCGATTAGTATATTTCCATCTTTGTTTTTGATGTGTGCACATTTTAATTTTCTCACTCCAAAATGTGTTTTTATTACTTTGTAAGCTTTATCCTGCATGTTATTCTTCATCATGGTCTCTACTTCTTGACATCGTGATTCAATCCATTGTTCTTTTGCACGTCTCGCTTCTCTATTTATCTTATTTCTCAGTGATTTATATTTTCTTATACTATCTGGGTCATTTTTATTTTTAAGCACTCTTCTTTTTTGTGTATCGTTAATTATTTCTTGAGTTATCCATTTTTGTTTGGGGTCTTGTTTTTTTCTTTCTAAGAGGTTTTCTGCTGCTAAGGTAATGGATTCCTTTATCTCTTTCCAACGATTTTCTATAGATATTTCATTAATTTCAAAGTTGAGGTTCTTTTGGCAGTTAATTTGTTCATCACATTTATTTTGATATTTTTCTGCTATTTCTGGTATTTTTAGTTTTTCTAAGTTCCATTTGTGGTATTTCTTATTTGGTTTTTTTATTTTCTTAAATTTTACGTCACATTTCATCATTACAAGATTATGGCCGCTGTTAATATCCACACCTGGATATGTTTTGCATGATTTGACTTGATTTTTGAATCTATTCCTAACCAGTATAAAATCTATTTGGTATCTTCCAAGATCTCCAGGCATCTTCCAAGTGTATCATCTTCTTTTATGATTATTGAATAAAGTGATAGAGATAACCAACTCATGTTGTCTGCAAAATTCCAGTAGTCGGTCACCTCTGTCATTCCTTTTCCCTAATCCATAATTTCCAACTTCTTTTCCATTTAATCCTTCACCAATGACTGCATTAAAATCACCCATTATGATGAGATTATCCTTCTGTTTTGTTAGTTTTAAAAGTTCTTCTATATCTTCGTAAACTTTTTAAATTTCTCCGATGTCGGCATATAAATTTGTAATATTATCATGTCATTTGGGTATGATCTTAGTTTCACCATTACTAATCTGTCAGAAATTGTGACTTGTCCGATAATTAATTGTGCCTATTTACTGTTTAATACCACTGATACTCCGGCTTTTCCTTTTTGTTTTCCTGAGTGTATTATTCTATACAAATCACCATTTCCATCCCATCTTGTTTCACTTAAACCTAATATTTCTATATTTTGTCTATTCATTTCAATTTTTAGTTGATTACCTTGTATATATTTTTGAAGTTTATTATTGTTATTTTGTTTTGTTATTTAATGAGCATAAATAATATAGCATTCGATAGGTATATCAACTTAATAAATTAACCTAATAAATCAAATAGGTAATTTTCAGAAGTATCTCGTATATTATGAAAATGATGATTTGTGTTAACTAGTACTTACCTTAAAGGATTCCCCATTACAATGGGTTAACTCAAAATAAATACATAAAAATAAACACAGCATGGCACAAAAAAATAACTATAAAAGCACAAATATTCAGTGACTTGGTGACATACACTGGTACTATGCAATGTGCACAATAATAATATTCTTATCAAATTATAACAATAATAATAATGTATTATCGTACTTAAGGTCCAGTTAGACTATGTAGTCAAACTTGCAGCTGAATGACTCTGACATCCACATTTCAGAAATACTACTCAAAATTTGTTACATTATTTGTACAAATTTGTAACGAAAACACCAAAATTTGTGCTACCATAGGAATATAAGAGTGTTTAAATATTTTATTAAAATATTTGATTTTGCAAATATACTCAAAAGAAATTAATAATTTTAATATAAGAGTATTTTTATTTCTTAAAATGTCTGCATCTACTTTTGGTTTTCAACCTGTCTAAATATTAAAAACATCATTTAATGTTATTAACGGCATTTTTACTCCTTACTATGGGTTTTTTTTAGTTGTCGACTTTCTGATGTTGACTGTTTCCTTTCTGGAGCTGACTGTCGGAATTCTGCAGCAATGTAACCGATTCTATTTCTCGAAATTATTCTCCGGGTTTTTGAATGTCTTGCACTTTAGTGATTTAAGTAAGTTACTTAATTTTGTAAAATTCGAAATTTTATTTTATATTGTATCCAGTTTTGCCGTTTTAATTTCTATTACTTTTTATTTTATTTATTATACTTTTTTTTTTTTTACTTGCTACATATTTTGGCTTTTGAAACGCTGC